CTTTAGTAGTTGTTGTAAAAATAAGTGCCAGAAACACGTGAGAAATGTTGACAAATGAAGCATAAATTATGAGGATATTATTTACATATCTTATGCATGTAATGATAATTATCACTTCTTGAAACACTGGTAGCGTAGTGAAGGTGTAACATGTATATGGTTTAGAGACTGAGCCTGAAGTAAACATGACCGCTGTGTATTGGCCAGGTTAGTTCTAATTTGTCGAGGTCCATGAAAAACAAGAAAGAATGAGGCAAGTGTTCAGCAATCTTGACCAAACAACATTGGGCAATAAAGAACCTATCACATGGCCAAAAGAAAAGAACCCTGGGTGCCAGAGTTGTTATCTGATAACAAAAGTCATTGGGAGCAATAAAAAGCACCGGTCTGTGCCAGAGGTTTTTTCTCGCAGCTCTGGCCAAAGATGTGTTGGCCAACACCAAAAATTCTTGCTGCATGCAAGAAAAACCTCTGGTACCCTGGGCAAAAGAAAAGCTTTTCTTGTGTGAACAAAGCGGGTATCCTGTGCCGGCTCAGTTAGCCTATCAGATCACAGGATTCACTTCATCTTGCTTCACTCGCAAAGCCAAGCATAATTATAATAAACTTTGTATGGACTTGAACTAGAACAATAACAAATTAAACTTGCAGTAAATTTGGTATCGATGGAATGTAAAAAGAATGTAAATTTAATACACCATCATGCTTTAGTGGAATTGTTATGCCGTGGAATCATAAATATATTAAAAGAAAGTGTAAGAATGGCCTACGAAGAGTGATTGTTTTTCTCAAACCCAAGAATGCAGTTAAGGATGTCTGTTATATACACGTGTTCAATTTATAGGAACAATGCAAAGAATTCGCTCCAAAATAGCTCAGTTTCGAATTATCAAAATTCACTCTTGGCTCTGAGGTTGAGCTAGAGAAATTAAACAAAATTTGAAGTATTTTAAACTGAATCTCATTTTTTTTTATTTTCTTTTGTTTCATTCCTCTCAACGTTGTAGCCAAGTGTGAATTTTAATAATTCCAAACTGGCCCATTTCATCCTGTGAATAGTTAATTTTGTACCCAGATCTCACTCTGTCTTATGCTGAAGTGGGAGATCTGGGTACGAGATTAGTGAATAGTATTCTAATGAGAAGTAACACACTAGGGAGCTGAATATTATCCTGGGTTCAGGGTAACATTTTAGGTTGGACCTGATCAGGCGTATTTTTTGTGATATGGCTTCACTTGGTTCATAGGCAGCATTTGGCAAAAGAATTTTCATGCCTCCTGAAACTTTTGCCTTATTATGGTCCAACGTGTCATTTTCACTCAAACATTTCAATACCCTAAATTTCAAATTTGATCGTTAGTGAGCTTGAACAAAGAGAACGCTGACATCCCGGACGTCATGAATAGCAACCCGAAATTTGATGTCTCGCTTGATGGAACACTTTTGTCTCAGACAATGAATGTGAATGCCCTTGTCTTGAATCCCGCTGTACGAATTTGTCGAGTCGGAGCACTGAAAGAGTGAAAATATCAACTTCCGGTTGCCATTTTTGACATCCAGGACGTCAACATTTTCTTTGGCTAAGGTCTCTACTATGTTACATGATCCCCGAGCCCCAACAGCAAAATACCATAGAATTCCGAAAATAAGCCCCGGGGCTTATATTTTTCAAAGGGCATTTTTGAGGGGCTTATATTTGGAGGGGCTTATCTAGGGAGGAAAATTTGTGTTTCAAAATCGATTGGGCTAACCTTATAGTTAGAAGTAAATTTACCATTTTTGCTTTGTTTTAATTTGTATTTGAGGGCAATTTTCCAAGTACAAGGCCCCGGAGGTTTATATTTGGAGGGGCGATTTAACGGAGGGTCGTTTGCATTACGAGTTTGGGGGACTTATATTTGGAGGGGCTTATACATGGAGGGGCTTATTTTCGGAATTTTATGGTAGCTCCTAGGCTGTAATCACGTGCTAAAAAGAAGACGACCAGTAAAAGCAACAGCGGAAATTGCAAGTATTTTATTCCAACATTGCTCTGCTAATTAACTATAGCAAGTGTTACCATTAATTTGTTGAAAGCCTAGAGAAGCATAATTGAAGTTTGACTTGCCAGCAAGCATGCATTATAATAATTCATACATTGTATAATACATACCAGATGCAGTTTTAATGGCCCTGCCACACTTTGTAATATATATAATTTCAAAAAAATTGCAATCAGGCATTGGCTGAATCTTTTCATAATGTACAACACAACTACACCAAGCTTGCTCCTTATGATTTTGAAAGCATGGAAAACAGAATACGTAGAACAAAAGAACAACATTCTAATAACCATCCATTAGCAATAATATTATCATATTTTAGTGCAATGAGCAGCAGATTACATGTGCTAGTCAAACGTTAGGTTAGTTTTTTTGTGCAGCCAGTAATATGAGTGCTTGAGCTGCTGTTTCCTGGTCATTCCACAGCTTGATGCAAGCAGTGACTGGAGCACCTGACAGAATAAATGACAAAACTGAAGTAAAGAACTCAGTTGGAGATAATAATTTTAAGGTTTTGGGGTGTTGTGGCACTGTTGCCGGGTGATGTGCACCTATTTGAAAGACTGTTTGTGATTGGCTGGGAAAGCAATAGGGATTGTGACATAATAATGCCCCTATCCCTGAAAACAATGGAAGTGCAGATTAAAGGGGACCAATGAAATAAGAGGTTTAGAACGATGCAGGTCATCTGTTGCCAAATTGTTAGTCCCTTATAGAGAGGAGAAATGTGATGTCATGTTGCCATGGTAGCAAAATCTTTGGATGACAACAATAGGGAACTTAAGCAATGATGTTGGCAAGGGCAAAGAGAATGGCAAGTAGAAAAAGCAATGAGTTAAGATTAGCAAAACAACAACTTTACATGTACATCACGCTTTGTTGAACATTTCTTAGGCGACATGAAACTTCCTAATTTTTATGTAGCCTGTTCCAGGCTCCCAGATAGTTGGGCCAGCTGAATTGAAAAAGCGAGAACACGCCAACTTTTCGCGTGCCTTTTACTTTTGCTTCTTCCCCACTATCTGAGAGCCTGGAACAGGTTAAATTTCATGTACTTACTTTATGGAGTTGGTGAACACAACACAAAAATTTTCTTTTCCTTTTTGTAAACTTATATACTGTCCTTTTGACAACTGCAGAGATTTTGCCAACATTTGACAAATTAAATGAAACTGAATAAAATCGATGAAGTTTGAAACGATGCAAATTCACTTTTTAAGTGACGTTTCCGGTTTGTCGACATTCAGAAATTTTGCTATCATGGCAACCTGACGTAACGACTTCCCCTCTCTATTGGTTTTTGTACCAGTCATGTGCTCAGTTTTAATTTGACCAGTACCACTCTACAAACTCCACAATCCATAAAGAATTAGAACACTTTCTCTGTCCATCTGGATAGTGTTTCATGGCTAAATATGTTTGATTTGAATTGAATTTAAATGAACACTGGCTTCAAAAGCAGGTATTTCTAAATAGAGGTTTTTTATGTAGTTGTAACAATCAGATAGGAAAAAATCAAACTACTTTTTGCTCATTTAGAAGAGAAAATACTGCTAATGCTAGCATACGTAATCATTGACCAACGCCGGCCTTGTTGTCATACCTGATGAATAAACGCTATTGGTTGGAATTGCCCCTGGATATGGCACATTAAACTTGCCTCCATTCTGCAACAGATCAACCAAAGTTTCCAATGTTGACAGCAGGTCGAAGTCACGCGCTTCCAGCAGTGTATGTAGGAATATTTGAGAAAAATCTGGAAAGAGCCTTTTCAGAAGCCATGAGCATCTTGCTACCCTGGTGGGGTCAGGTGGGCTGTCAAAGGGACGTTTTCTTGACGGTCCAGGGAATGCTGAGAAATTCATATTTTTAACTTTAAAATGAAGCCTTTTCATACGTACTGTTAAGCACTATCATACCCTTTGTGGATCTATAAATTATTGCGTTTTTTATGGTCTGCGATCTGCTCAGAAAATTTTAAGTCAAGTAAAAAGTAAATCCACGATCGCAAACTGGCACGCGGTTTCACAGACATTCACGAGAAATGTTAATTTTGTAGCATGAATCAAACCCTGAATTAGAACAATCGACCAGATGTTTCTCCCGTCGCAGGATAACACCTTTATTTTGTTTTGGAATATAATACCTTCGTCTGTTTCTTTCAAACACAAGAATCTTAAGGGTGGTTGCTAATTAGACTCGCAAAATAAGTTCGCAGTGAAAAAATCCGAACTAGACTGATCACAAAAATGTTGAGTTCCCGAAAAAATAAAGTACCACCAAAAATGCTAGAAATGACGTTACCTTTGAGTCCAATTGATAAATAGATTTAAATGAATATGAGGTTTTAAATTAATCCACCAACTGAAACATCAAATTCCTTACTTCTTTGCATTGTTTTCTTCTTTTAAGACCAATATGTTACCAGACTTTTAGGTTTAACTGATTATGTCTCTGTAATGGCTGGAAGTATCATGATGGGTAGTTCTTTTCGCCCGAGTTTAATGTTGTGCAACGCGCATTTTTAGCAGAATTTCAACATCTTAATATGATCAATGTAAACATATAACTCGTGACGTAAAAATTCTTTCCTTCCCTCCCGTACCTTTATCATTTTCACCGTGGACCAGTGGACAATTTAAAAAAAAAAGAAAGAAAGAAGCCATTCGCTGTTTCTGTCTAATGAGAGCTTGCCATACCAAGGGTTTTGTCTATCCCGATAGCTTTATAAAGTTCGAGATCAATCGGATAATGATTAACCCTATTAATTGATGAAAAGGCAAATGTTTCACTGCTTTTTATTTAACATTTTTCTTGAAAGGTTCTGCCCTCAAGTTATAAGCTCATAAAATTCCTCACCTGTTGAAGTTGAACGAGCGCGATGTTGATCAGTTGTGGGCCTGTTTTCCACTTCACAATATTCGACTTTAGAACTGTCCATCAATGAACAGTCATCCATCTTTCGTCTTATAGCAACTTGTGCAGCCATGATTTTTCTCCTTGCGCAGATCAAAATACACTTTTGACACTCACAATCTTTCCATTTGCAAAATCTTTTATGCCCCTTCAAAGCGGTACGGAATCCATGATGTTTGCATCGAGCACAAAGCGGTGTCTTCTTGGGCAAAACGACTGGCGATCCCTGTTTGTGGGACATGATTTGAAATATTCTGGTGATCTAATGTTTGCTAAAGCACGTTACGTCTCGAAACTTTCAAAACTGTCATCAATCGGAACGAAAATATGTTCAGTGAGCATGCCGATCTGTTACACTTTCGCCCTCCTTCATTCATGAAAACATGTACCGCGCGCGAAATTACGCAATAGTTTCCCGCCAGTTTGCTACTAGGAACGATAAGGAAAAATAGCTAAAAATAGGCACTTTGGCCGTGTGCGGACTTTTAAAAAATTTGCTTTCTACTCCAAAACTTGCATATCCCTTGAGTGTGTAAACTTATATAAGTGCGAACTCTTCTCTACGAGGAAAAAAAAACTAGAAAAAGAAGTGTACAGGGATACCTTTGGCTTCTACTGTCGACTTGATGATCCGGGGAATGACCGACAAACAAGTACAGCATGTTTCAAGAAGCTTCGGTTTGTTTATCTCTGAAATCAGACGCTCGCGCTACGCAAAAAATTGACGGCTGGAACTTTTGACTGGCTGTCCTTGTTCACGAGCGAATATGGTCAAAGGCATTTTTCAGACTTGAATTCAATGTGTCTACTTGGTATATTTCTGCTGATCAGGTTTTCTTAGAACCTACGTTCTACAGCAAATTCGTTTGCGATCGCTTGCAGAAAATGTTTATTTATCACAGATTTAGATCATTTCACAGGCAGCCCTAACTCTCAGTTTCCACTCCTAGAGTGAAAACTCGGTGGTAAAGAAAATCGCTTTAATCGCAGATGATCGGAAAATAACCACACAAGGAGCAAGACCACACCAGTAAAATATTGTAAAGCGTTTTTTATTGAAATCCGAGCGAGTATTTATCATCTTGAATCCATTACCTGGATTCCCATACAAATCCTTTAATATATTCGGGTTCACAGCAGAGGCTCATGGCCATTTTGAGGATTACACAATATGATATAAACTGTCATACTGAGCTTTAGCTGCCTGTGATATTCCCCCTTAAATCTCTTTCTTTCCTTCCAATTATCTAATTTGCTGTTAAACAGCAAAATAAATCTACGCAAAAAAAAAAAACCTGTTTGGAGTTAAATTTCATTGTGGGAAGGAGAGTTGACTGACGACACTAAAAAAACGAAGGAGACTAAAATAAATGCCGCCATTGAATAAATGAAAATGATTAAAAAACAGCAGTGGGACCCACCCCTAGGTGTTCGTTTTCGACAGGTGTCCACTAAAAGAGCGTTCAGTGAAATTGTAGCGCATTGTAAGTCACTGTTATATTGAATACACTTTAATTTCATATCATACAGATTCTACTAGATGACCCTTCATCAAGTTCTTAAATATTTTTCACGTTTATTCTTATAACTGTTCAACTAGTCTGCTGGTTTAACTTCCATAGCTTGTTCCATCTGTGTTAACAAAACGTCCCACTCAACAAACTGTTTTGACAGGAGATTTATCTACAAACAGTCAAGGAATTTGTATGCTGGTCTGAATTTACAATGATTATAATTTTTATCTGTTATTAGACTGAGAAAAGCCATTTAAAATACGTGTGCTGTTCACACTATTGCAAGCTACAATTGGATTCAAACAAGAAAATCTACACATCTGGAACCTAAAGAAGCATGCCCTGTTTGCACTACAACAAAAAATGAAATTTGGTGTTTGTAAACAATTTGAAAATTTTGGTAGCACCATTTTTTTCGGTTTTTGTAACCTTGTTTGCACCTGAGACAAAATAGTTTTTGTGTAACCAGAAACATCAATATTAAATTAAAGGAATTAACTTTATTGGTTAAATTTACATTTCCCCAATGACAGTGGTTCGAAATCTTCCATTTACCAAAGAAAATAAAGCATGCATTATCAAGATCTTAAAAATACTGTAGAGAGGGAGAGATTCACATGCACCAAACACTTATATCTCCACCTCACACAGACTTTCCGAAAGTTGGAAAGATCATGCCCATGAAACTGTCTCTTGCCTTTTCTGAACACTCAGAGAAGCAGTTCTGATTACACGCTAAAATCTCCTTTCATTTCCCAAATATATATACTTATGAATTAAAGGGAGAATTTGAAATAAGATAATTTGAGTCACATACAATATTGTTCCACACAAACTTTGTTACGTCTACCAACCAACAACTGGGAAAAATAACAACAGTAAAGCCTATTAAAAAGGATACTATATTGTTGTAGGTTGAAAGCAGATTATGGAGTCTCTCACTGCCTGCAGTGAATTCCTCCTATGAGGAAACAAAGAAAAAGCAATACTTTGCATTTACATGCATTTCAAATAAAACTTATTTTAATTCTTTGAGTCCCAAGAGTGCAGTGATTTTGTTACCTGACGCATAGAAATCCCCAAAGATGTAAAATAATTCATGGCATGAATCCAGTAGGACACAAAGATCGATCAATTGATCTCAACATGTGTATTTTTTGAAATATCCCGTTCGTGTAACTTCTGTGGCAGTTATTATGGCTGTCTGTCTGTCTATGGCTTTATTTTTCTACTTTTTAGTTTAGATATCCTTTGTAGTGAGTCCTTCTCCCACAACGTTAATTATTTAATGGTTGCACCTAAGATTTCCAACAAAATGGGTTGTCCAAATGACATTCAACACTTTATAACATTTTCTTTCATGATCTAAAAGAGGCTCCGTGACAGCCCTACCTTTTGCTGGATATGAATTTCTACCAGTGGTTGAAGTTTGGCAGACCAAGTTGGTAAATCTAGTAGCAAAGCAACACAAAACAGGTACATAAAATACATTTATTTTGATTCAAGGCTTTTGAACAAAATGCTCAACAATGTTAATGTTACATATGAAAAGTAATGATGACATACAAAATGAAAATGGAAAAGTGAGTGGAATATGATCATCCAGGTGAGTGTAGTTCTGAATGTTCTGTAGGTGATAGTGACTAAGGTTTCGTAAACCCTGATGCAATCTTCATTTGAGTCAAAAGTTTGAATTTCTGATTTTTAATGACTTCACATTCAACCAAACTTGTGACATGTTATGAGTGGGTATGACCTGTGTATGTATGAATGGATTACGTGAAAGTAATGTAACAGTAGCAGCCTGTGATACAGACGTAATCTAAACCATGTTAGTAACGTCTGCAAAGCAGTGTTGATATTCTTGTTAAGGGACCCCAACAGACTGAACAAATTACTGGAAGAGCAATTCAAATTTCCTTTCAACCTGATTGGCAAATTGACAATGGATTTTTGAACACACCAATCATGGTGCATACTCAAACCCTGGTATACAAGTGGAGGCCCAGAACAAAGATTTTAGCATTGTTTCACAAAAAGACTTAACCTTAGTTTGGTCTGTGACGCAGGCTAGGCAACAGAAGAAATGTGGTTTTTTCTTACAAGGACATCAATCTAAGATGATTCCCTTGGGAGGAGAAAAAAGTAATTCTATCGTACAATGATTAAATGAGATAGTTCCTTGGGCAAAGTAGTAATAAGAGGCAGTTTAAGCACAACAAACACTGTTACACACCAGTATATAAACCAGTTATCATGACCACAATCTACTTATAATGAAGTCAGATTAGAACCAATTTTTTCAGGCAAAGAGATGTTCAACAGTACTATCACAAACCTTTGAGGGGCTCTGTTGTAACCACTTTTTTCAAATCTTCAACTTGTCTAAGCTGCTCAGCACAGGATCTCAGTTGGTTTTCACCTAAGAATAAATTAATGTTACGTTGGCCAATTGCTAAAAAAACTTTTTTTGGATAGAATTTTTAACTATCGGGGTTTAAAATAAAAAATAAGGAATCACGGTTTGCCCAAGAAACATTCAAATTTGGTTGCCCAAGAATTACATGCTCTTTGTAGTTCATGTTTTTAATGAATCAGCAATAATTGTACATTGCCAAGATCACACGTAAAGTTAGCTATTTTGTTATTTACAATCTTATCATGGGGATAGGAATTTCTTGTTACATTTGACCATAGTTCAGGTGACAATAAGTAGAATTCAAACTTGTATGACAGTGTGTTAATAGCATGCCATTATTTATGAACCAATCCAATTGATGGAACTACAAAGAATTTGAGTGCATCAGTGACAAAAGAGATTACAGTCTTTCCTTCTCTTTTTATCTTCTCTTACGCGTTTGCTTTATTTGCTTGAATGTAACATGCTTGCCCTCACGACAATCCTGAGAAACTGCTATCATCATCATTATCAATATTATTGTCTAATTTTTGCTAACCTGCAACAATGATATCAGCTTTGGCATCATCTGAAAGAGAAGCTTTCTCCATGAACTCAGGAGAAAGAAATGTTTCCAGCTCTTTCACTGAAAACAAAAACCAAAATTAATATTGTCAATTTGAGACCAGTTAGTCTGCTGTGCATCTGTTTATAAATTGTTTCAGAAAAAACAGCTAAATGAATGCTATGTGCATAATGTCTTACAAGTTTTGGGTTTACTGAGTTGTCTTAATTTCTCATCTTCAAGCACTTTCAAGCCAAATATGCAATTTCAAGGACTTCAAGGGATTTGGACCATACAAAACTCGTTTATCCCTCAACTTGTTAAAACCTTACCCTAAAAACTATTTCCAAGAAAAAACGAATCAATATCTTCAGAAACAATTAAAATAAAATAAAAACGTGTTGCTAAATAATAACAAAGGTAAGCTTAAATTAAAATATTTATTTCATATATATACCGTTCTTCCAGACTGCTGCAATTCTTTTGTATTTGGTGCCGATTTTATCAAGATTTTTCTGTACATTGTTCAAGGTTCCTAAGCACTAAAACAAAAACATGTGACTTATTAAGCT